TACCCTCTGCCTAAAATTGATAACCTGGTCGACTCAACAGTCGGCCATGCTTTGATGAGCTTTATGGACGCCTACTCTGGTTTCCATCAAATTCCTTTATGGAAGAAAGATCAGGAGAAGACGGCCTTCGTCACTGATCAAGGGTTATACTGTTACACGGTTATGCCGTTCGGTCTTAAGAATGCCCCGGCCACCTTCCAGTGAATGATAAACACTGTGTTCTTTGATCAAATAGGGAGAAACATCGAGGCATACATTGATGATATGATTGTCAAGTCTAAGCTTCAGACAGATCATCTGTCGGACCTCCGAGAAACTTTCGCCACACTCAGGCGGCACCATGTCATGCTCAATCCCAAGAAATGTGTATTTGGAGTTGAGTCTGGGAAATTTCTCGGATTCCTTATCAATCAGAGAGGAATAGAGGCGAACCCTGAGAAGGTGCAGGCGGTCATCGATATGCAGTCGCCTCGTACCGTCCGAGAGGTTCAGAAGTTAACAGGTTGTCTGGCGGCCTTGGGAAGATTTCTAAGCCGATCAGGCGACAGATGCTTATACTTTTTCCAGGCCATTAAGAAGAAGTCAAGGTTTGAATGGGGGCCGGATGCTGAGGCGGCCTTCCAGAAATTGAAAGTTCACTTGCATTCCTTGCCAAGGCTGGTCAGCCCTTTGCCCAAAGAAGTACTCTACATGTACCTGGCCGTCTCTGATCATGCGTTAAGCGTTGTTCTTCTTGCTGAAAGAGACGGCTGTCAGCTCTCGGTCTACTTTGTCAGTCATGTATTGAAAAATGCCGAGTTGAGGTATCCCTTAAGGGAGAAATTTGGTCTTGCACTCTTCATGGCTGAGCTTGGTAACGCAAGCTTGTGACCCAAGTGGGAGCATTAAAGTGGTGGAACATCTTGAAGTTTAAGAGCATCTGTGTTCGGGCAAGGGCGGTAGCACATTCAACATATGAATGAAACACAGCTGCTGGCTAACACACACGTAGGGCCGTAGGACAGACCTAAAACAATTCCCCACAGACGGCGCCAAAATGTTTTGGGGTTTTCTGATGTCCTGCGGGAGAGTTACAATTCCGAGACTGGAACCGGACGCCTGTACATGCAAAACAAACGGATGCTCCGGATGATTGGAGATCCGCCTCCGACGGTCAAGTTAGTACTTGCTTAAGGAGTAATTAATGCGGAAATTAAAGTGATTGGGTCTCTCTAGGTGAGAGTGTTTAATGTGCATCCTCCCCTTAATGAGGATTAAGGGATGTATTTATAACCTCGGGAAACGTGCCAATCCTAGGTTTAGGTTAACCTTGGGCTGATTGGGCTTCCCTCGGAAGTTGGGCCTAGGTGGCCGGTTTCTCCATTAGACATGGAGTATGCCACGTGTCATGACATAATAGGTCCAGGGTGGACGAATAAGCGTGTGCCATGTGGCAAGCCCTGACAGTTCCAACTGGGGGACACTTGGCAGGTCTTGATTGGCCCACGTGGCGCATTCCGATTGGTGGGAGCAAAATCCCCTAATCAGTAATCAACGTAGAGACGGTTTCCAAGATTATACCAAAGATTTTTGGTACAATATAAGTTGACATGGTCTATTGTAGGACAATGTAAAAGAGAGTTGATGGAGAGATGTGCTCCATTGAATGTAAGTTGATGAAAATGTTCATCAACAAGATCGATAACTGATAATAAGTATATCAACAAAAATGTCAAGGTGTGGTTGTGCAGAGAGAAGTGCTCCAAGTATTGATGAGAAGTGCATCAACAAAAATGTCAAGGTGTGGTTGTGCGGAGAGAAGTGCTCCGAGAATATCGTGTTGGTGATGATGTGCATCACAAATTAAAATGTCTAGCAAGATGTTTTGAAATTTGAAGTAGAAGATAGTAGGGTCTTCTAAACTCAAGTGTGTGGTCATGTCACGTGTTCGTGTTGAGATTAAAAAAAGAAGTGTTCTCAAATAGAAGTCCAATGTCAGCAAGTGTTGGAGTTACCCAACTTTAAAGCAAGGGGGTATGTTGAGTTTATTCCTTCAAAGTTATCAATTTCCTAATGTTTAGTAGTGGCTAGTACTTTTAATGAAGACTTCCTTAGAATTAGGAGTTAGTATTTTATTGAGTTTTAGGTAGTTATGTTAAGTTGATTAGTGGAGATATTATTTAGGCATTTACTTTGATAATGTGATCAATCATAATATTTTCTTATTTTATAGCTTTAGTTGGTTGTTTTTACTCTCCTATAAATTATGTAGTGTACTGCAAGTTAATGAGTAGCGATTAATAAGAGTATTATTATTGTTTCATTCTCTCTATATTATTTACGTTTATTAATTCTACACATATCACATATATGTGCCTCACAAAATGATTATTGTCTCTTAATTTAATAAATTTAGTATAATAAATAAAAGTATATAGAATCATTGTCCTTGTTATACAGTTGTACCCCTTCTACTCTTATGATGTTTGTACGTTTTCCTTGATTCATATCTTTTTCTCAACATATACATTATTATCATCTTCAACTTATTTTGTTTCATTGTCCTTGTAATAAGAGAAAAAATAAAATATTTTAATGTAAAATGCTAGTAACAATCAAATTACACTACAAACAAAATAGGATAATTAAATAAACATTATAAAAACAAATTTGAGCACAATGTCAAAAAATGAGCAAGTATTAAATAAATGAAAATCTTTCAATATAAAAATGAACATATACTAAAAATCAAATGAACATCTTCAATACGAGAATGAACATATATAAAAAATTTAATTGAGCATTTTTTTTAATCATCATAATAACAAACAAGTATTAAAAATTGAAACAAATATCTTTAATATGAGATGAACAAGCATAAAACTAAATTAATATGTTTAGATATAAAAATAAATGTTGTAATATATTGTAAATGAATATCTTTCAATATGAGAATGAACATATAATGCAAAGAGAATGAACATGTATTAATATGAAAATTATCATAAATGAACATGAATTCTTCTAAAATGATCTTTTTTCCATCTAAAAACGAACATTTACAATAATTTATAGTTTACTATCTAGAATTCCTCAAAAAAAAAAAGTTTTTAGTAACAAAATAAGTAATATTAAGAGTTGATGCTTCAATTTCATAAATCAAATTGATAATTTGTCTCTAATTTTAGTTGTTATAATTCGTATATGTTTTAGCAATTATAATTTGAATATTAATCCTTCTACAAATGAACATAAATTTCATCTAAAATTAACATTTACGATCGATAGATTAAATGTACTAGCAAAAATTCACAGAATAACTATTTTAATTAATGTATTTTATATTTATGGAAAATTCTTATAAAATAATTCAATTATTATTATAAGAATCACTTCCATTAGATACTATGAGAAATCACAAACTCTAATTGAAATTTCTTATTAGATTTGGAAGAATTCTAATGATTATCTATTAATATGTGAATGATCATATACTAATATGTTAATGAACATTTACCAAAATGAAAGTGAACACTCATTAAAAATAAAAAATAAAAAATAAAAAATAAAAAAAAAATTTGCACTGTGAACTACATTTACAATTTTATAATCCTACGAAATAGAAAAAATAATTGTCCTAAAATTAGGGCAATTAAATTCTGTTTTTATTTTTTTTTGTCTAGTAATTTTATAAGCTAATAACACACACCACAAATTAAATCAACTTAAAATAGAGTATACAAAACATCAATATAATATAATCACAAGAAATCATTATTATGATAAAAATCATAAGAAATCATGAACTACTACTAATAAAATTTCATATTATTGAAGAATAAGGCAAATAAAAAGTTAGGGTTTGAAAATTTTTTCGAGCAATAAACAAAATCAACTTACAATTTAATTATTGATCGTTCTTTTGTAGAAATTTTCTTCGATTTCTCGATTTCGTCTCTTACATCTAATGTTTTAGTAAAAATCTAAGAGAATTTTGATTTCTTTTTTTTCTAGACAAATGTGAAGATTTTGGTAGTTTTGGAGAAAGAAAATGGAAAGAGAAAATGATAAAATTATGAAGAGAGAAATTTTTAATGTTGATAAAACTACGAGGGAAACTGATTCATAAAAGTTGAGGGAAAATGTAACGGATTTTTATTGTTCAAGCTATATAATACACGTGGGAAGGGGTAATACCTACACTATGGTGTAACTATTAACTAGATTATATCTCGTGCCATGCACGGTAATTTTCACGTACTATTTATTTATTATTAGTTTGACACTATATATAATTATAAAAATTATCTAATTGCAAAATAAGATGAAAAATTCATAATTACAAAAATAAAAATAAAATTATATCATACTACAGAAAATAGTGAGAGTATTACATGCATGACTATTATGTGTATTAATGGATTACGTCACAAAGTTATATGTGGGGAAATACTATTATTTTGGCGGGAATTTTTTTTAAAAGAAGATGACACATGTCATTCCTGGTTTCACCTTTAATATAATATATATAATATCTAGTTATAGTTATAGATTTCAGTGTTAAAGTCAATTTGATGCACTATAATATAGTTTTTTTTATTTTTTATTTCGTACTATAAAATATAAATGAAATCCATTTGATTTTTGTAATAAATCTGGGGACAAAAATCATTTTGAGCAAATAATATCAATATTAATAATAAGAATCTTTAATTGCTATTACAATATACAAATTAGATAAATATAATTTTATTGTTTTAAATAAGTTGTCAATCAAAAATATATAAAAGGAAAATAAAGTTAGAATATATTTACTTTTAGAAAATATTTTTTGGAGGGAAAAACAAACACCAGGAAGTGACATGTGTCATTCCCGGTGTTTGTTTTAGAATTATGTTATTGATAGTTATGCAAGCCCGACACAATGACACGTGGCCTGGTCGTGCACGGGCCAACTCTTTGAAAATTTCAGCCCAGCACGTAACTAACCGCAAATCTTTAGCTAGGGTAGCGCCCGGTTATCTATGGGTGGAACAGCGCAAAACGACATCGTTTTGCAGTATTGAGAGCCAGCTGTATTTTCTTTCTTCCTCTAAACGACGTCGTTCTTCCTAGCTTATAACTTCAACTTTGTTTCGCAATTTTTGTTCCCAATAATTGAGTACATAAATCATTTAATTGTTTCCAATTAAAGCATTTGATTTCTTTCCATTTAATTTAGAATTTCTCTCTCTTCTCGATTTTACCATATTTTTTTCCTCATTGTTCAAATTCGATTTTCGAGTTTCAATTCTTTTAAATAAATCAAGATTTTTGATTCTTTTGGTTGTGCATAACAATGGAGCTTGTTACTGATTTTTCATCTGGTATTCTTCCTACCTTAATGCATGAATGTAAGTTTATTTTAGTTATTTTGTTTGATTATTGATTGAATAACTTAGTGCTTTTTATTGAATAATTTTTTGCCTTTTGATTCAATGGAGTTTATAATGTTTTTAATTGATGATCATGAGTACCTTGTTTAATGCATGATTAAGATGTTTAATTTTGTTAATTGATTATTTCATAGATTGAATAATTGCTTATTGTTTAATTTTTTTTTTATTGTATAATTTAAATGTTGATTTTTTTTTTTAATTTTTTTTTTACTGTATTTCCTATGTTTTTTGATAGTGTTTGGGTTCAACCATTTCATTTCAAATATGGAATTTGAAATCTAGAATTTCAATTACTCACATTCAATTCCAAATAATCTATTTGGGAGAAATAAGAATTTCAAATTTATTTGCCATACACCATCTCCACTTACCAAAACCAGTGATTCTCTCTCCTCTTACATTTCCTCTTCTCTCAGCTCTCTCTCCACCTCAAATGTTCATCCAAAATTCCCAAATTATCAACCCAAATTGATGAAGTATGGCTCAAATTAACTTAGATCTGCATATCTTTTTATTTCCCCTTTTGTAAAGCTGGGATTAGGTTTATGAAATTTCAAGATGATGATGCTGCCATTGAAGGACTTGCAGCGGAGGTGACGGTGTGAAATTGCAACGATTGGGGAGGTCGTTCACGAAGGTGAAGGCGAAGGCTACGAAGGTTGTTTACATGATGGCAACGGTTACGAAGGTTGTCGATGTGAAGACAACGGAGGTTGTTTAGAGTGGGTACGAGATAATGTTAGCCACAATTAAAGTGATACAAGATCAAGTAACTGGTAAATGTTTTGCAATTGGGAAAAATCAAAAAGGAAATAGAGGAAATGGTTTGAAGGATTTGAAATGCCATAAATTGATACTGGATTTCAAAACCTGTAAACTGAACCTTAATATTGAAAGACTAGATATTAAGTCAAATCCAAATGCAAATTCTAGTAATTCCCAAACAGCTATTTGAGACAATTTTTTCATTTGAAATGAAATGATAGCTTCCAAACAGGCCATTACTGTATTTCATAGAAAATCTGGCTGGTTTGTGGCAGATCAAACTCCAGAAATGCTCCAAATCCAATCTCCTGAATAACTTTCATTTTTTCTTTATTCTTATATAACTCTTTGAAAAGTTTGGCAAATTTCCCATATGCACCTCTTGCTCTTGTTTTTTCTAACTCTTCATCCTCTTCTTCTTGTTGCTCTTCTTGCTTTTCAACAATCATTAACCATCCTTTTCTCTTTTTATTCTTCTCCTCATTTGGATCTACTATCTCTTTCCCCTTTCTCTTTTTCTCATTCTTTTCAGCTTTAGAAAGTGAACAAAAAACCAATTAATAAATGAACATGCATACTTGTGATTATATATAAAATTTATGAACATATGAGAAATTTACAATGAACCTTTAATAAAATGAACAATTGGCTTTGCATTATGAACATTCATAATAATCAAATATTGTAATAAAGATGAGCATTTAGCATAAATACCTGCATTTTTTGAAACTTCAACTTTCTTTTTCTTATTAGATTTCGTCGCTGCCTCTCACTCTTAATGCTACAAAATGAATGAATAATACATGAGAAATAATGATCATATACAATAATATAAATGAACACAATGATGAATTTTGATCATACCTGGTTTTTCCACTTGAATAGGATGTTCTAATGGTACAATTTGTTTATTTGCATCACTTTCCTTCTCAAATTGTACCAATTTTTTCTCTCTCTTGGCTACAAAAGTAAATAACTTAAGATTAAATAAAAATATATAATTAAAGAAATGAATAAAAAACTATAGGTTAATACCTGTTTTTTTGGGATCTTTCTCTTGAATTGCAATGTTAGAACCTCCTAGGTCTTTTGCTTCCTTATCTGTTAAAGATTGAACATTCTTGAATCATTTATTGAACAATTAAGATTGATCATCATTCAAAACGAATAATCAATTTTATACATACCTCTTTTCTTAGAATCATCTATTTTGATTGGCTACTCAGTTGGAACTACTTGTTTTACTACTTCGCCTGTTAATCAACATCACAAAAAAAAAAAAAAAAAAAAAAAAAAAAAAAAAATTACCATTTAAGGAATGAACATGCATACTTGTGATCATCATTAAAGGAATGAACAATCTATTCTTTTTAAAGTATATATTACCTTTCTTCACGAAAGTCGAAAGCTTCTCTATTCTTACATTTGATGGCTGTGTTTCTCTTCTAATAGTTGTAAAAAAACAAATATATTTAATTAACTCAACATGTGAAGATATGTGTTCACTTAAGATAAATTTATCATTTTAGAAAAAAAAATGATTTATCTTTTTACCTGAATTTTTTGTTGCCTCTAAAAACTCACTTTCTGAAATTACTATGACATGTTCACTTTCTATTTCATTTCTCCTCTCACTACATTTCTCTTTAATGCTTTTGGAATGTAAGAATCCTTACTTTTCTTCAATTTTTCCTCTAGGTCCAATTCTTCTGAATCATTTTTCCTAAAAACTTTTTCTCTTGCAATATGCTTTCTCCTTGTACCTGTTGATGATGTTGATGTAGCAATTGTTGCTTCATCTGGTTTCTTTTGTGCTTCAAGTGCTTCCTTTACTTTGACTGCCTCTTCAGCTTTGTTTTTAGTATCTATTTTTCCTGCTTTGCACTGCACTCTCATTGATGTCTAGGCGGTAATGATAGTATCTTGTTCAGTGACTAACTTTTTCTATATATATATATAAAAAAATGTAATAATATTTTAGGTAAATGTGTATGGAAAATTAAGAACACGAAAAAATGCATTTTATGTAAAGATGATATATAAGATTTGGAATAATATTATTATATTAGTACTATACAGATATTCAAAAAATAAAAGATCTTTTGTTAAAAAAAAACAGCACCAAGACGTGACACGTGTCATTCATGATGTCTGTTTTAGTATTATGTTA